CATTACACGAAGTGAATTTAAAATAGATGCAGAGCTCGATAAAATGGGTACATATTATAGCCATGGGACACAAACGGTTAAAGGACGTAATAGAGAAATGCTAAATAATTTAAACGTTTGACCCTGCGTTAAAGATGTAGCGATAATAATGTATGAGTTATAGAGTAACCAAAAAATAAAGGGAAATTATAACAACATAATGAAATCTATATAAGTGAACGCGAATGTAGAATTCACTTGTATTATTTAATATTCTCAACAATATACAGAAATATAATTTCCAGAATTATGCATATTTACAGTGTTAAATTTATTTGGCGCAGGTTGCCTCATATCATAATATTTGATACATATTCATAAAATAGTTTGAAATTATTGCTCCTAATATTATGCGAGTATATTATTTTATGATTAGGGAAACCTGATCCGAACTAGAGACAAAACAAATACCTTCAATATCACTGCATAAAATTTACTCAGTAGGGAGGAAAAATATCGGATAAAAGCAAAAGTAAACTTCAAATCTTTTCTTCGTTATAACACATGATATGATAAATATTATTTGAGTATTTAAATTGTTCAATAAAAAAATAAAATGGAATAGTTTTGGAATTTTACGCCATGGTAGGTGCCTAGTATTTGTATACGGTTTTTTGAGATATTCGATTCCTGTGTTAATAAAAATTGGGTTGATGCTTATTTTTCATACGGACCATAATAGTATGGCACTTTACCAGAGGTTAAAATCTTAGCGACCCATGTTATGGCAATGCAATTTACATATTTATAAATTTTAACTACTTAGTGTTTTATAACGGATTTACGTTTTTAATTTGTTTATTATGATTATTTTTGCTCTTTGCTCAGCTAGACCGATTCATTTTCTCTCTAAGTTTAAATATACACACACACAAAAAATATACCAAATTTTATTAAACTTACAGTAATACGTGTGAAAAATTAATCTACATATACGAAAAATTAGACAAACTTTTTGACGTTTTATAATGGATTAAGGGTTTAATCTGTTTGCCGAGTTTTTATATATTTTTTTTTGTCACTGAAATATATTTTTAATGCTGCATCGATTGTACTTACATTTTTATCTCCTGCACTTGGAATAAAAAAACGTTAAAACTCTAGCAAAAATTATATTACCAAAAATTACAGTAAAACGTTAGAAACTTACATTTTATAATTGGTTATTTATAATAGTGAACTCGGCGGCAAACAAGAATTGCGATACATTTGCGATCGATTTGAAACCCGTAAGTATATTTATGTATATGATATTGAATTTGATATTTTGCTGTTATATACGAATAAATATTGTCCTTTACAAACTTAGGGATCAAATATTTTGTTTTAGTTTAAATTTCAACTGTACACCCTTAGAACTAGTATTATTCCAAATAGTTTGAACGTTTACCAATATTATGATAGTATTACGATCAGTGTTGTGCTTTAGATTCATTTATCTAGATATGTTATATAGATAAAAACTTCATATCGTTATCTTATCTAGATAAAAAATAAAATTGATATCTAATTTTTATCTAGATAAAAATCATAGTCATATAGATAAATTTATCTAGGTAATTCACAAAATCTGTAGCTAATCATTAGTAATAACTAATCTAAAATTTTATCATTCAATCTATTACAATAATTGAATCAATATAAAATAAATAACTAAATAAGAAATTTCAATTGTATATTTACTTGCTAAAATTGGTTCTAAAATAGTTTTACATAGCATTTATTATTAATTATGAAAAATGACAATTTATTATGTATATTCGAATAATCGAATTATTTAAATATCAGTATTCGATGCTACAAAACCAATTATTACTAAACGTTTTATGTTGCGTGAAAACTAAAACGAATAATTTTCGTTACGTATTGTATTGTAGCATCGAATACTGATATTCGAATATTTGAATAATTCCCATCACTGATATAGACATATATTAACTATATAATATGCATGAGAGGTGAGTTATTTATAATTTCATAGTATGTCCCATACGGCAAGTCTTATGCTCGTATTACTATTGTTCTGTGGTATTATGAACGACAAAAGAGCATTTACAAGAATATTAGAACCAGAGATAAAGCACCATACGTCTAAACTGGTTATTATTGCAGCTGCCCGGTAAATGATTTATAAATACTAAAATACAGAAATAATTGTCGATAAGACAATAGCAATATTACAATATGCATTACGCTTTACCTACACAAAAATTAATCGTTCTCCATCATCATTCGACCACCTTAAATTCAATATTTATTTTTATGTCCATTGTTTATATAATCATGTGCTCTAAATAATTGTCATTACCAATTCTATGAATTCGTACTTTGATGTGTCTACATAATATTACTGTACAACAAAATAAATATAAGGCGTGAAACGTCTGTTATTTATTAAAAACTTGTACTGTACTCAGCGCACTCTCATCCACAACGTGTTCAATGTTTATCGTCAGACCGTCTTCATATTTTTCATAATTTTGTCTATGACTTTCAATTTTATTTTATTGGTGAAATATTTTATATTTTGAAATGGATCGTTACATAATACAATCATTACTCAAGACTAAAAGAGTTCGCCTACAAACGGGTGAAAACGTTGATGCCTTATATAAATATCTAGATAAAAATTATTTTATCTATCTATATCTAGATAATTTTTTTTTATCTAAGCACAACACTGATCACGATATCGAAGAACTAGAATTTCTCCGGGGCAGTGTAGCACAGTTGTGATTGAATGTGTTTCGAATTATTTAACCTAGCAACAGTGACGCTCGCAAAACAAGCGAGGCATCAGTTTGGTTTTAGCACGTCGATATAATTTAATAATTATGATTTGCTACGATTAAAGCGAATGATATATTGATATGGGTTGCAAATAAATTACTCCGCAAAACAATTTGGTGAAGGGCGAAAGCCGTTTTCACCATTTGCACCTGCCGATCTTTCCGTACACCACGGGAAGTGGAATTATAATTTCGCAATAAAATAAAAACACAAATTCACGCATATATACACACAAACATCAGTGTTGTTTCTAGTGTAAGACTTTATGAATTGGTAAAGAAAAAAAAAAAATTATTTTCAATAAATATTATTTACACGTATTTTAATCTCGTTGATTTTACTCAGTTTTTTTTTTTTTTTTTTTTTTTTAATGTTATGATAGAATAAGTAATAACACGACTACAACAACTAACTACAACGACCATGGCCGAGAATCATGTTAATGCATAATATATTTGTGATGATTCATCGTCGATTTTACATTTGTACACAAATAAACACGTACGAATAACGCGACAGTAACGAGTTTTAACGATACTTGTAAATTATATTGGATATACACAAAAAAAAAAAATGAAAATATAGTTTTCGCGGGAAATGATTTCCCGTCAAAAGCGTTTTGAATAAAATAATATGTTAACTATTCAAATAATTTTATCTTGGCAATAGAACAACATAAGTGTTATTGTTATTATTATTATTTTGTTCCAAAACTTTAGCTATTCGAAAAATGTTTTCGAATGTTATAAATTAACACTTATACTATTACGATAGGTTAAGTACGATTTATAGTTCATATATATCATATAATACAAAGCACCCTCTACTGTCAGTCTAGTGACATTGACACGACAACCCACTCGGACTCCTCGTACACAATTGTGGGGTGAACTACGATGACCCCAAATCGATGGGGGGAGGAGTCCTCACGTCAACAGTCCCGGCGGTGTTGGTTCGCGTGCGGAGATATGATGAATTAGCAAAGCTAAGGAGAACGTCGCAAGGCTCACGCAAAGCTAATAACTGTCCGAGTAACGTCCGCTGACGAAGCATTTAATATACGCGACTTTCGGCCTTTACGCGTGTTTTATTTGAACAATTCGTACGTGTAAAAGTGTACAGAGTGTTTTTTTTATGCATGCTTAAACAACGTAATTTTCTACATTCTGATTTATGTAAAACGCGCGCACGCACTATAAAACAATCTATGTATTGGAAAACATTTTCTTATATTACACACGTATAGCGATGTCAACTAGAGCTCTTAAAACACGTGTCACGGAATTCACGTGTACACGTGAAATACATGTTTATCCAAAATATATATCCATTTTTACAATGGTAAAATTAAAATAAAATATTAATAGTACAGTATTAAGTTAAGGATATACGTTTTTATTTTGGATTTTACACGTGACACGTGACACGTGAATTCCGTGAATTCACGTGTATTAAGAGCTCTAATGTCAACGATACATCGATAAGTTAAAAAATCGATATATTTGTTCGGTATATCAAAACCTTTTTTTTTGATACAAATTTACTATCGATAAAATCGTTAGATATAACTATAATATCGTGGTAATATATATTTAAATAATATTTCTTTTTTTTGTTTACATTTGCATTAATAATACTTTTAAGTTAGAACCAAATTAAATATATTGTTTGAACACGCTAGCTTTGCATTTCCTTATATGACAAGACGGGAATCCTAGGGGGGGGAGGGAACTAAAGAGCCTCCTCAAATATTCGAAAAATGATTTTTTCATACATGGCAAAAATACTATTAAATAATTTTTTTATTGATCATTTTAGAATCCTAAAATGTTTGTCTACCAATAGAATAATATGAAGAATTTACATCGTACGAAATCGGTTATAAGTTATTGTACATACAAGCCATACACCAATAATTATGTTGTATCTTGTATCAATCAATAATATTATGTAATGTACTTAGTTAAAAATGATTGAAACATTATCTTCGTTACTACAGGAAATCATTGACCGTCACGCACCATACGTCATTTTGGTTGTTTCCATGAAAAAAATATAGTTTTTTATGATTAAATCTTGAGTTTAAAAATATAAATTTTATTCAAGAGACATTAAATCATTTAGATTAAAATAACTATTCAATATTTCTAAAATTTTACTTAGATTGCCAATTTCTGTCACAGCAACGGAAAAAAGTTTTTTTCTCTTTAAGACTGCTTATAATTTAGTTAATGGTAAGAATGGAAAAAGAAAGATTGATAGGGTTGGTTCTTCTGCAATATACATAAGAATATAAATATTTACAGTGAAAATAATATAAAAAATATAACTAACAAATTTCCTAAAGTAAAACAACGAAAACTTGATTTTGTATTATAAAAATAGAGTACACTATTAATATATAATACCATAATATTATATTATTTTATTTTTTTAAGTGTTATAAAATTTAACTTTGTTCCCAAAGCTACAACTTACCATACATAAATCCTATTTGTATATAGGACTATGTCACCCCTCTTGAACAATTTCTGGAACCACCTCTGCACGTGACAAACCGAGATTTCAATCAAAAACTGTTGTCTGCCGCCGACCCCGTTTGTTTTGTTTTTGACGCCGACCCTTGCGTATTGCGTCCATTGCGCCTTGCTTATATCGCTTCTTTTTTGTAAACACCAGATCATACTTATCTGTATAGCCATCATATACGTGATTTTCGGCTTTATTTCAATTTTTTATTTTTTTTTTTTTTTTTGTTATCGATATATGTATTATACCGATTTTTATTGATACTGAAATTATGATATAAATCGTGATTGATAAAAATTGGTTATTATGTCGATATTCTAAATACCATACTTTTGTTCGATACCATTGACAACCCGAAACACGTGTGTACGTTTTCCATAGATCAGAATGCTGATAAATATACATAACTCAATCGTATCCAAAAGGGTATACTCGAAAAGTTACCCATTACAACAAACGCGGTTTCACCGGAACACTGTGATCTACCGCGCAATGCAACTGTGTCGGATGGAAAACACGTAACGATACTGTAATATAATAATATACGTCAGCCGATGAATAACGACGGCAATACATGCGTAATACGTAATACACGTCGTATTTACACGACGATAACGTCTCCCGCGCATAATTTTTTATTCGTATTCGCCGCAAGCACGTGTTTGCTGCAACTGTATGTATATTATGTAAGTATTTTAAACGTACAGTTGACGACGGTCCGCCATAAGTGCGTATTACATACGTGTAGTGTTGGGATTAAACGAGTACTTTTTTTTATCCAAATAAAGATGTACGACAAAAAATTATGTGTTTGAAGATAACTAAATCAAAATTTATCAAGATAAAAGATAAATATTTTCTTATTTGGATAAAAAAATAGATAATTTTTTATAATACCTGAACTTTAAAGCAGAGGTGTCGTTTGAATATTAGCTAAGGTAGGCGGGTATAATGACTGTCAACGAGTCACTTACACAACATAACAATGAATTTACCTATATTCTATATTTGAGCACCTAGTTCCGGGCCTCTAAGAAAATATTAATAATTAATAATACCTAATATATTATATTATTATAAACGTGCAATTTTTTACCAAGATGACTTAACAATTCAAGTTCAAAGTATTGTTTATAAAAAAAAAAATGAATTTTTAATAAAAATATGTAATTCTTTTATTTTATATAGAAACGAATTTCTATGGATAGTTGAATTTTGTATCTTGGATAATTTTTTAGATAAAATAAAATAATTTATCTAGACAAGATAAATGATAATTAAATAATTATCTAGATAAATCTCAACACTGTATACGTGGTGTGTACAGATGTTGCGCGGACGCTGAGGCTGCCGTGGCTCGACTTTCGGGTAATGCGAAAGTGGTTCCGGAATGATTCGCCAAAACGAAAAACGGGATGGAGGGCGGAGAGGAACGGCCGTAGGAAAGAAAAAAAATGTATAGTTTCAATATATAGTTCAAACGATATCGAATTTATTGCATAACGCTACGCTGCGACTCGTACACTTAATTTTATTACATAGTTTTTTTCTATCAAATGATACAGGGCTTACATTCAAGGGTCTCGAGTCCTATAGGCTACCGCGTGACTACCATCGTTCCCGATTCAAATCTTCACCATAACATATACAATTAATTTATTCGGTCCAATATTAATAATTATATCAACCCCGCTGGAAACTTAATCCAAAAACTTTGTACATTTATGATCTGTAAATGTGTACATTCGTAACTTTATGGTATAAAAAACTGATTTGCAGTAATGTATTTAAACAAAAAAAATAAATTTTAAGCACATCCAACCGAATGAACTTCACCTTTGTAATATTTATCCATACCTTGCAAGTTATAACTTTATATTTAGAAAATCAGAACTTCTTCCTATTAGTATATCTGGTCGGATAAATAGATATCATGTTATTGTTCAATTACGTGTTCACGGGGACTATGGATTATTTATGGATTATTAATCGCAGAACAGTTTTTGAATAATCATTAGCAAACATAATGAATTACACAATTTAATTACCCATCACATTTGTTTATATCCTTCAGCATTATCGATATTCCCTTAACAGAAATTCACGGTGAACACGTTCAATTGTTTAATCTTCCCTAAAACCACATATTATGGAGTAAATATTATTACATGAGCGACATGAGCCTACCACCAAGGCAACACTAAACTAAAACATTGAGTAAACCAAACTAAAACAATAACGTAGCGTCGATCAATACTCATTTGTACTATGTACAATACACATACAAACTGCCGTAAATTGGGCTTAATTAGGACTCGACAAAATACAATACGTTTAAAGGGAATTATCAACAAATAGGTAAAAACAACAGCAATAATAATGATAACAATAACGACTATAATAATTTATACTCTTTTACGAAATCGCGGGTGCGTTCGGATATTCCTGAAGACTGTCGATCGACGTGTACGTCATCATGAGTGAACGTTTATTCGTTTTATTTGCAAGGAACACGATAACAAATGAAATGTACAGACATACAATGCTCATAATTCTCCGTTGTTGTCGTGACCTTTTCGACGTTTTAGGGCGGCGTCTAATCAATTCGCATAAAAGGTTTGCGCGAAGAATGTTCCGTGTACAAATATATATATATATATACCCAGTTTTTCATGAATTTACTTTTTACGGGAAGAACTTTTCTTTTTTTGCAACCCACATTACAGCACAAAGTCCTTGACTCAGCAGTGATAATAACATCATATACATGTATTCTCGAGAAACTGTATCGGCAACAACGACAAGAAGTCGCGGATTAACCCCCATGGGCTATTATTGTTATACTTCTTTTTCTTTTTCTTTTTCCGACAGACGTCAGACGACGTGTCAATCCTTGTCGAAGTATGTGGTGGTTGGAGAAAGAACAAAGTTACGAAAGTGTTCAAAACGGCTCTCTTGGGTCAATCGATTGTGCATCAGTGTGTTGATGTGGCGTCCGCTCAGTGTGTGTTCGTATGCGTGTGCTTGCCGTACACCCCTATACTGGCATAAACACATACGCGAGAAGATTCGGTCGGATATGACACTTGAATAATGGTTTACGTTCGACATCGTGGTGATATGATAGTGGTAAAATATACAGCTAGCTTTGAAGGTTTCAGAAAAATAAGCTAGCTGTTGTTCGGTCGGGTCAAATATATTACATGAAAATTATTAACAAGATAAAAGTCAGATCCGAGAATAATAAAAGCGTCTGGAAAGCCGTGGATGGTATAGCTACGTTTATTATTAGGTTTTTCTATTGAAAATATACCAACCAAAATAAATAGTAGTGTATAGCAATGTAATATATCCTACATATATATACAAAACATGGACGAAGAACTTCTATTTTGCAACGAATTATTTCGATCGCACCAGTCATCCGATTAAAGCGAATTTTGATGCACAGCTGCTAAACACCACTAGAAAACAAAAAAAAATAATAAATCGTAAACCTAACGCTTGCTTGCTTCATAAAAAGGAGAATTCAGAAATGATATTTTTTATTTATTATTATTTCTCATAATCCGTATCATACGATAATTATAGAATAAGAATTATAATACGTCACTATTCCGAAAGCTTATCTGGTTACAATTTAATATTTATAATACACTAGTAAATACGTTTTATGCGGAATATAACTTTTAGAGTTGGAGTAGATCTTGGCCAAAACTTAGAAGTAGTGTTTCATGTGTAAAGACATTTCTATAAATCTTTGAAATGTTAACTAATTATAAATTTTAATCGAGTTGTCAACTACATAATAGTTTTTTTTTAGTTCAACATATTGTAGAAATTCATACTTACGAAAATTATTGGACTGTTAGAACTGAACAATACATACCTAAAACAGACAAAAATCAAATAACGGTTAGAACTAATTTTCTAGACACATTAATTTTTATTGTTATTCACAAAATATTACGGGATAATTATTATTTTAATCACTGTTAACGTGTTTCATATTTCCATAGTACCAAACGCATTGTTAATACATCAACACGTGCATATAAGAACATATTCTTCTAAATAATTTAAATAATGAACATTTCTTTTAGTTTCAAAAACATCACTTGAAAAGTCGAGTGTTTTAATTATTTCATCACAGAATTATTTAGTTTTTGAAATTGAGAGTTGACATTTTTATTATTTATAGTCAATTTATATTCTATCTCAGTCTCTATTGTATACTACGGGTTTTGGATTAGTGTATATAAGACGTATAATATTGTAAGAACAATAATCCGATTACCGCACAAGATTATTATGCACGTAAATGCAAGTAGACAAAAAAAAAACAGTTTAAAAATGTAACGTGATTAAAATTCTAAAGTATTTAGCGGTAAAAATTCAAACGATACGTTGAGCGCGTACACTATAGTGCTAAAACAAAATATAATATCTCATTGATTAATTTCCTGGTGAAAAAAATCGGTATCGATGATCAGTCACTCGGTCACTCGGGCGTCTGCCAAACAAAAATTACTGCAAGTAACTGAAATATTTGTTCGTGTTAAAACTGAAAATTTTGCAGGCCAACACTGTGACAGGATCGTTTTGGCCATCCATCGTAAGGTGAAGATGGGGGAAGGCATTCTAATGGGGAAGGGAGCGTCGAGGGTGCATTCAGAGCGTAAAAGACAAGATTAGTTACAAGTGGTTAACTGTCCGGTTTTGCTCTCCGAATTTTGAATATTTTTAATGCAAATAGTTGTTTGCATAAAATATATACCTAATATTAAACTGTACGCACACTGTACTGAGTGTGTTTGTGTGTGTGTGTGTGTGTGTGTATGCGCTCGTAAACGTTATTTGATATACTCGAATATACAAGGACGCAGACATTTCAATGGCAGTGCGTTTTAGATGAATGGAGGGGAGAGAGGGTAGTTAGTGAAATGGTTGAGGTCGATGTCACACAGCATGAGCAAACACGCATACGCGCATGCGCTCCGGGCAGTCTGAGAGGAGAAAGGGATGCAGCAGAGACATCTCGTAATGCCGAATCGGTGTCATCACGGTCGTTTTCCCATCCCTTTCCGACCATTCACACCGAGTTGGACCGGCTTGACGGGGATATCGTCTCCTTAATCAAATTATCATGTTGCTGACGTCACGTGGCGCCTGTTTGACGGGGAACGAGCGGCCCGAGATAAATGACGTGCTCGCAGATTACACGTACGTTTTGCATTAACAGCGCAGGAGAACACGGTCTAAATAAATTAGCATCCGGACTGCGAAATATGTGGCAAGGTGTGTACGGGGCTTGCCATTGCAGGGACGTGAAAACGCCACGCGAACAAGAGACTTAAAATGAGTTTTATTACAAATATTATTTTCTCTTTCATTATCTCTCTCTCTCTTTCTCTCTCTCACTCAACGTACCATTATTTTAAAGGACTCCTCGTTTTCTATCAACAATTTTTCGTTAAACACCTCCACACCATACGTAAATTTTATCGTATATTTTT